CCCCCGCTGCCCCCCGGGAAGCCTCTGTTCCAGCTACTCAAGCGTCTCTCCCTGCACCAGCGGGCGCCGTCCCGCCAGCCCCTGCCCTTGAGATGGGTGGCTGCCCGAGCGGGGTGTCCGTGCTGAGGCTCCAGCCCGGGGCAGCGGGGGACGCTGGTGGGGCGGTGGGTGCCTGGTGAGGCAGCGCCGGCGCGGCACCAGCTAGCTCGAGGGTGCGGCCGGGTGAACGCGCGTGTTGGAGCAGGCTGTAACTCCGCGCCCAAAGGCTCCTCTCCTTGGAGGCGATCGGGTTGGCGCAGGCAGCTGCCTGGCTCCGGGCGGCCGCCTCGGCCCCGTGCCCTGGGCAGGGAGCGTGGTCCCTGCTGCGGGCTGCGGCACTCCCCGGGGCTGCAGCTCCCTGGCTCTGCCCCTTGGACAGTGCCCGGGGCACCGCCGGCAGGCAGGACCCGCCGGCTCCCTGCCCGCAGCCCCTGGCTGACGCTCGGGGCCTGCCCACGCGGCTGCTGTAGCCGAGGCGTGGGGCAGCGTGGGTTCCCGTGGCTGGACCCCTCCAGGACGAGCCCTCTCGGACCCGTCTGCCTGGGCTGATCCTGCCTCAGGCCAGGCTGGGACTGGGTGTGACCCCTCAGCTCCCCGCCTGCCTCACGGCTCTGGGATGCTCTGACCCTCGTGGCTCCGGGGCTGGGGTCGTCTCGCGCCCGTGCAGGCCAGGCGTGTGCATGGCTCCGGCTAAGAGGGGCCGGGTCACGGTGCTTGCCAGGCCCCGTGCGGGAGCTGGCACCTTCCACCCTGAACCTGAGCCTTGTCTGTTGGGTCCTGAGCGCCCCCCAGGTTGCCCGCGTGGCTGGTGGCTTCTCCGTGACCCCTCGTGCACGCAGCACCCGGGCTGACCAGCAGCCTCCGAACCTGACCGGGAAGCGATTCCTGCTAAGCCCTGCTCGCCCAGCTTCAGGGAAGCGGGTTGCCAGCACTTAAAGGCTCTGGTGCCTTCTCCACGGATGACACGTGTCACGCGTGCCCTCCTGAGCGTGCACCGGTGTGTCCCCCAGTGTGGTGGGGCTGAGCTCCCTGCCTGGGGGAGCCAAGAGGGCAGGGCCAGGGCTCGGCTCTGCCTCGTTGGGCAGGACAGGCCGGGCTGCCAGCATCGTTCAGGTGCCTGTGCTGGGGGGTCCCAGGCCTGCGAGGGAGGGAGGCAGGCCTGAGGTTTCTATGCCCAGCAGCCGCTGGCTCTTGCCGGCCTTGCTGCCGGCGGGTGCTTCGGAGGTAGCCGAGAGAGACCCATCCATCACGCGGCGGCTCCAGAGGCGCGAGTGCCACGCTCGCCGGCAGCCGTCCCTCCGCCCGTCCATCCATCCATCAGCCGTGCGGAGCGAGATGTAGCGGAGCAGGCGGCCCCAGAGCCCAGACACTTTCTGACCGAGCCTCGCGCCCGCGGCTGAGCTGCAACCGCAGAGAGCAGCCTGGGGCACGGCCCGTGGCCCGCGCCTTCCTGGCCCGGCCCGGCACAGGGAGAAGGGGCAGCACGGGGCTCGCGGACACCCCTTGCCCGGCCTGGGGGTCTCTGCTGCGGGGCTTGGTCCTGATCCTGCCCGTGGCCCTGGCAGGTCTGTTTGCAGCGCAGCGCGGGGAGGGGCAAGGAGCCTAATGTGCCGGAGGTGCCTCGGAAATGAGAGCCTTGGCCGTGTTCCTGGCCCGATCGATCCGCCGGCAGCTTATGCATCCTGACATTCATAATCTCGGCCGGCCCTGATGTTCCAGATGAATGGCCCCGGGGGCCGTCCATCCGTCACTGCGCATTAATTACTGAAGAGGTGTTTTTCCAGTGATTTACCTGACAGCAGCCGTGATGGATGCCCCCGGACGCAGCGGGCAGCTATTCATCATGCGGCCACGCCTTTCCCCCGCTCCCCGCCGCCGGACGGACCCCCCGACCATCCGTCTCCATCAGCCTGTGGGGCTTGGGCCCGGCAGCGAGCGAGCAAATGGTGCCGCCTTGTGCTGGGTGCCACAGAGCATCGTGGCCGGTGGGTGCCAGCGTGCAGGGCCTTGCTGTGCTTGCGGGAGCACCGCCAGGGCCCTGGGGCAACATCTTCCCCGTTGCTGCTGGGATGGGTGAGCTGAGCCCGTGCCACGGTGCTGCAAGCTGCTGCCCCGTGCAGCAGGGTGTCTCCCAGAGCCAGGCCGGTACTCGTCCCTCTGTGGGGGACAAAGAGGTTCAGGAGGCCCTGGCTTGGCAGGCCGTGTGCACATGCATGCATATACGCATGCACATCCACGCAGCCCCTGTCTGCAGGAGCGCAGCGCAGCTTCTCAACCAGGAGCTGTGGCGTCCCGGGTCCCATGGGGCACCGGCCATGCAAGTCCTGTTGGGGGGGCAGACATGACTCACGGATAAGTCAGGCTGGATGCGACCCCTTTAGAGACTCACTGAATAAGGTGGAGAGAGCACAAGCTTCTGTGAGCCCAAGTTTTCTTCCTCAGCTGCTGCGATTGAGATCGGATAAACCCGGAGACTGAGGCAGGGATTCGTCATGTTAAAAGCTCCTTGCCCTGCTGTGCCCATCCGGTCTTTGCCGTGGGAAAATTGCTGTATTTGTTTTCTGCAGTCCAAAAATGAGAGAAGACAAAGAGCTGGCATTGTCCGAGGGGGCCTCTGGTCTCTCGAGGGTGCCGCGGGCCTGGGGAGGTTGAGAGCCACGGGCACGGGGCCACAGCCAGGACCTGGGCGCCCTCCCTGCCCTGTGCCGGCTTCCCAGGGGCTGCGCAGGCTGGGGCAGGGTGAGCAGTGGGAAGGGGGCAGCGCACAGGGGCGAGGCTGGGGACTGGCGTCTGTCCATGCTGTCATTTGGGCAATGCCTGTTGTGCCCCCTGCGCACCTGCCCAGTGTGACCCCGGGGCTGCCCCGCAATGCGGTGCCTGCCGTGCTAGTGATCGGCCTCCTTCTCTCCCTTGCAGGTGGAGGCGGCCATGCAGCAGGAGGGGGAGAGGACCCGGGCTCGACCCCGCAAGCCCGACATGGCCCTGTACGTACCCAAAGCACGCCGGGAGCGGGCAGCTGGCGCCGGCACTGCGCTGCCCGCGGGGCACCAGAGGGAGGAGGAGAGACCGTGCCGGCCACCGAAGGAGCTCTCCAGTGGCCGCAGCAAGAGGCAGAGCCCCAGTGCCCGTGAGCACCTGGCTGGAGACAGCCGGAGACCAGACGGGAAGGCGAGGAAGGGGCCGGCCCGTGGGGACGTGGCATCAGGCAGCCGAGGAGCTCGTGGCCGGTGCCCTCCAGTTCCCAGGCAGCAGCAGGAGGACCCGTCCCTGTCTCGCTGCCCGCGGGAGCAGGCTGCTGCGGGGACAGGGGACAGTGGGGACAGGAGCCGTGGGACCCCCGGCTTCCAGGAGCCACGGGCTGGCATTGCCCCGTCTCATCCCGCAGAGAGTGCTCTGGCGGCCTGCTCGGCAGCGCCGGGCTCTTCCTCCGAGCCTGCGAATGGCACGGCGGGCGGCGGAGCAGAGCGGGCAGGCGCGAGCATCCCGCGTCAGGCGGAGCAGGGCCCGGGCTTTGCGGCACTGCCGGCAGGCAGGGAGGCGGGGAGCGTGCCGGAGGCTGCAGCAGGGAGTGAGGAGAAGGCGCGTGAGCTCACGGCGAGCGTGTGTCATGTCACAGGGGACAGCGCCCCGGCTGCGAGCACGGGTAGCTCATGTGAGTGCTCGGCAGGGAGTGTCCCAGAGCCAACAGAGGTGAACAGGGAAAGCCCCCCTGAGCTCGCCGAGAGGGATGTGCGTAGCGCATCCAAGCTTGCAAGGGAGAGCGTCCCGGCTCCAGCAGAGCAGAGCGTGTGTGGTGCACTTGAGTTTGTAGGGGAGTATGCGGGGAGCGCGTCTGCAGTCTCAGGGAAGGACCTGGATCTGAGGGGGGAGAGCGTGGGCAGCCTATCCGAGCTGCTAGAGGAGAGCGTGGGGAGCGCGTCCGAGCTTGCGGGGGAGGGTGTCCCCAGTCATGGAGCGCAGGGCCTAGATTGCACTAGTGAACTCCCTGGGGACAACGCAGGGAGCACATCTGAGCTTGCAGGAGAGAGCGTCCTGGCTCCAGCAGAGCAGAGCATGTGTGGTGCACTTGAGCTCGTAGGGGAGCGCACAGGTGGCATGTCTGCCATCTCGGGACAAGACCTGGGCCTGAGTGAGGAGACCGTGGGCAGCCTGCCTGAGCGTCTAGAGGAGAGCGCAGGGAGTGCATCTGAGCTTGCAGGGGAAGGCATCCCCTGTCAGGGAAGGGAGCTCGCCAGGCTTGCAGCAGAGTTTGCAGGCTTGCATGCAGGGAGCGTGGCGGAGCATGTGGGGGGCCCGGCAGAGCTTGTAGGTGAGCGTGCAGGTCAGGTGCCCCCCTGTGCAGCTGGGCACGCTGCCGGTGTGCTGGGCCAGGCGGGTGGAGGCCCGGGTGAGCTTGGCGGGGAGGGAGCAGACACCACGTCTGTCTGGGCCGGCTCGGGCATCGGGGTCTCTCTGGGGGGCGAGTTCGAGGCCAGCAGCGGGGCCAGCGGACGCGCCGAGGGGGTCTCTGGCTGTGCAGTGGCAGGCGCGGTCCAGGGGTCCCCTCACACATGCAGCGAGCTCGCTCAGTCTCCGGCAGCGCCGTGCTGCCCCTCGGACAGCGCGGAGCCGCTCCTGGGGGGCAGCTCGGCTGTGGAGCAAGATGCCAGCACGTCGAGTCGGCCAGGCTCGGACGGGGGGTCAGCGTCATCCTGCCAGGAGGGAGACGGCCCCGGGGCCCCGAGCAATGGCAGCGCCGCGGCTGAGAGCTGGGACGCCCTGTTCAACGACGACGGCGACTGCCTGGACCCGCGGCTGCTGGAGGAGGTAGGGCCCGTGCGCTCGCGGGGAGTGGCTGACCCGGGGGAAGCCGGCGGTCGCAGAGTTTAGATGGTGGGTTTGCATCGATGGTGGTTTGGGCAGGGCTGGTCCTCCGCAGGGCCCTTCCAGCCCCGCTCCTCTGTGATGCTCCGATTCGTCCCGTGTCATCCTTGGGGGGAGACGCCTGGGCCATGACCGTGCCCAGGCTGGTGCCCGCCAGCCGCGGGCCACGGAGGGTGAAGGGAGGGGAAGCGTGTTTGTTTTATAGAACGTAAATCGTGCGCTTTGAGAGGTGCTCAAGCACCGTAAACCACCGCGGTGCCCTCGTGAAACGCGGGGGAGTTGTAAAGCACGAGGCCAAAACGCACCGGCTCCATTGAAAACGCGGCGAGAAGCTTCCTCGAAGCGGCAGCCGCTTCATCGGGGCGGCTCGTTAGCGTACCTTCCCGTAAGCGCCCAGCTGAATTTACGGCAATTAGCTGCCGGTTCCCTGCCAGCGTCGGGGGAGCACTCGGCTTGCGCTGCGAACCCGGGGATTCGTGATTAACTGCTAAATCAATAGAGCAGAGCCGGCGTGGTCCAGACCGGCCCGGCCCGGCCGGCCCCGAGGTAACGAGCGGGGCTAGGATTGCCAGGAGGAAGGTCTGTCCCTGGCTGAGCGCGCCCCGGCCGGGGCATCGGCGCCGAGGGGCCTGGTGCTGGAGCCGCCTCGGGCGCAGCTCAGTGCAAAGGCAGGCATGGGGATGGGGCTCCAGAGCCTGGCGTGGGGCACGTGGCACGCACAGTGCTGCAGGTCCCGGGGGCTGTGGCCAGCACAGCAGCCGTCTGTCACGGGGCAGAGGCCGTTCACGCCAGCGCGACTTGCACGGTGCGTGGTGATGCTGGCGGTACGCAGACACGGCTTTGCTACGCGCGGGCTGCTTGTGTCTGTGCTGAGCGTGTCCGGAAGGTGCGGGGACGCCTCGCTGTGCTCTGGAAGTTTCCCGGGCTCCTGGGCTGTTTGTTGCCCCGGCCCCCGTCGTCCCCCCACCTTCTGCTCCATGTGTCGGGGGGGTTTAATCCTCCCCCCCGAGGCGCTGGCGGTGCTGCAGCCTGGGCTGGGCCAACGCTGCTGCTGGCACCGACCCGGGAGGGTCTCGCCCCCGCGCTCGGGCCCAGCCCCACGCTGCGCTGGGGCGGGAAGGGATGTCCCCCCTGCTCAGACTGGTTGCACTGGGGGGTTTCCCCTTCCTCTGCAGCGGGGGCTTGGCCTGTCCTGGGCTCTGCAGCGCCCGTGACCCCCCGGCAGCAGCAGGATGTTGGCAGCCGCGGCCCCCCTGCATCCCAGAGCGGGGGCGATGCCTGGGGCTGTGTCGGGGGAAGTGTGTTGTGCGGCTCCGAGGTCGGACACAGGGTTTGTCTGGGTGGGTTTGGACAGGCCGGATCCTGCCCCAGGCCAGGGGTGGATGTGATGTAACCTCTGCAGGTCCCTGCTGGCCCCACGGCTCCAGCGTTATATGACTGTGAGGGAAGAGCCAGACCTGGGTGTGGTGAAACAGCACCGTGCACCTGGCCCTGTGCGTGTGCAGGCATGTGCCAGGGCACGTGTATATGACAGCTGCGTCTCCTTACATATCCCGGGACCACGCCCTTTGCGTGTGGGTGAGGGCTGGGGGAGGGTAGCTGATGCCCCCTGGTCTTCCCGTCCCACGGCCACAGCTTGGCCCTGTGTGGTACCATGGGGCCAGGCTGGGAGACGCTTTGCTCTGCTTTGCGATGTGCAGAAATGGGTGCGAGGACAAGGCAGGAGCCGGACGGGAGCCTGCCCGGCTGGACCTGGAGCCCGGTGCCCAGGTGCCTGCACGGCTGCAGCCAGGAGCGAGGAGGCACCAGCTGTGCATGCGACTGCCCCGGGGTTCAGCTGCTTGTCCCGGGGCCCCATCCCAGCTTCTGGTTCACATTCCCAGCAGAGCCCCAGCTCAGACCCGCTGCGCTCGGTGCTGTACGGACACAGAGCGCAAAGGCGGTCCCCGGCCCCGTGGGACGAGACCGCAGCTGGGATGAGAGGGATGGGAGCGTGGGGGGAGCTGGCGCAGCAGGGGGTCCACGGGCATCGCGGGCTGGCTCTAGCGTGGGGCATGGGGGAAGCCCGTGTGACTGGGTTCGGGGTTGCAGGGGGGTGGGGGGGCAGCGCGAGCAGTCTGAGAGCTGGCAGCTGCTGCCACGGGTGCACGGGCAAGGCAGGGCAGAGTGCGGGGAGCCTGATGTGGGCAATGCCGCCCGGGGAGAGGAAGAGTTTGACAGCTGAGTTTGCATCTGTTGCTTTGCCCAGCCCCACTAAGAGGAGCGCCTGCACTTGGCTGCCCCTCGGCTGCCCCCGGGGCGGGGGAACGCAGAGCCCGCGTGGCGGCCGTGGCTGTGCTGGAGCGTGGGGTGCAGCCCGGGTGCACGTGGCATCATCCGCCCCGGGGTCAGTGCCAGGGCAGCGTGTGCTGGGGGGCTCCGGGGACCGGCCACGAGGAGGAAAATCCTGCCCCACAGAAAGAAAAATTCACTCTGGGTCTCCAGGTTTTCCAGCCCCTCGCGCGGGAGGCAGTGCTTGCAGGGGGATGCGGGGGCTCTGGGCGTGATGGAGCTGTTGTTAATTAACGGGCCGGACAAGAAAATTGGCAGCGTTGCCAAATCCTCATGCGCCGCGGGTCGCTGCTGGCCAGGGAGATTGATGGCGCCGGGTGCGGCGAGGAGATTTCTGATAGCAGACGGCCCCTTCGTCTGCAGAGAGAAGCGGAACGAGCTGTGGCGGCCGGCAGCCCGAGCCAGACAGATTTAGACCGGGAGGAAGGTGCCCATTTTTTAACGAGGAGGGTAATTAACCATCGGAACAATTTACTTAAGGGCCTGGCGGGTTCTCCATCACTCGAGCCTGGGCGTTGCTCCCAGAGCTCAGTGCCAGCTCCCCCCGTCCCAGCGGGTCCGGGAGATGCAGGAGGGGGCGATTCTCCGGCGGTGCCGTGCAGGGAGCTGGGCGAGGCAATTGCACGGGGCTGTCCCGCATCTGGGGGGGGCACGGGGGCAGTGCCGACAGGGGGCAGCTGCTGTGTGAGCAAAGGCCTGTGCGGGCAGGGGCACAAGGAGGCGCGCAGGACGCCGGGTCCTCACCCCGGGGTGCAGCAGGCACCGGGGTGTCCGTCAGCCAGGCCGCAGCTGCCTCTGCGCTTGGTGGGGCCCAGGCCTTCTCCCGGCACGGAGGTGCCAGGGGCCTGGCGGGGCGCACGCTGCTCTGCCACCTGTGCCGCGGCCGGGATCAACGTGCGGGGAGCAGCAAGCGTGTCCCCGGGCGCCGCCCGCCCAGCCCTTGCCAGAACGGCAGCTCCCAGGTGTGGAGCAGGGAGCCGGCCGCGGCGAGGGCTGCATTAGCGCAGCACCATTCCCGTAAGCAATCAAGGGTCAGGAAGTGTCTGCACGGAGGGGGCCGTGCCGGCCTGTGCCGTCTCTGTGGCGGGAGGCGACCGGGCGCCCAGGCTGGCTCCTCCGGGCTGGCCTGCCCACACCAGCCTGGCTCCGGTGGGGGGAAAGCACCCCTGGCTGTGTGGGCAGGGGCCTGGGGCTCCATCAGGCGGCCGCCTCTGCAGAGCAGGGGGCCCTGGCGGGTGCCCTGCCCGTGCCCCTGCCCCTGCCCCTGCCCCTGCCCCGGGCAGACGCAGCATCAGCTGCTGAGCCTGCGGCCCTGCTCTGCCGCACGCGGCGCCGCGGGAAGGGCGGGACGGCGCCAGAGCTCGGCACGTGCGTTTTGTGCGTCCTCTGGCATCTCCCCGGGCCCGATCCTGCCTGGAGCCCAGGGCTCCGTCGCCTCCAGGGCCGAGGGTGGCAGAGGGCACGGGATCCCCAGCTGGATGCGCCGTATGGAGCCCTCCGGGGCCGGCCGCACCATCCCCAGCTCTCCGCAGTTGCCGGTGCTGCATAACTCAGGCTCCTGCCCCCGCTGTGCCCAGCCCCCCTCCCCGCGCCCCTCACCTGCCTCGAATCCATCTTCCCCGTAAAATTGTCGGAATTAACGCTCTTTATCGACTGAGCCGGCCGGGATTTATGGACTCCAGCCTTGCAGCCGCGGCCACGCTGCCGCGACCGCTCCAGGGATCCGCGGGAAGGGGCTGAGTTATGGGCTCTGCGCTGCCTGGCCCGTGCGGGGTGCGGGGAGAGGCACCCCGGGAGCAGCGGGGGCTGCCGGGGGCCGGTGCTGATTCCAGTGCAGCACCAGGGGGGCCCAGCAGGGGATGCTGTGCTGTGGGGGGCGCTGGCACCCCTTTGCCCCTGTGGGGAGGAGCGCGGCGCAGCCCTGGGGTGGCTCAGCTCTCCCCCCTTGCTCTGTCCCCAACTCTCGCTGCAGCTTGCAGCACCCAGCTGGTGCTGGGCACCTTGATCTGGGTGTAGGGAGGCCTGGGGGAGCCGTGTCGGGGCCCCCGCCGCATGGCCCAGCAAATCAAGCCATGGGAGACTTAATGGGAAAAGTGGAGGCGTGGTGCGAAGGCCTGATCGATCCCTC